AACACAAATCACCCACATGGATCAGAAACAATTCTCTGAAAGATACTCTCAACACACATGGCTAGCAATAGGGGATTGTTACATTATTTCTGAAGTTCAGAACAACAAAATGATACAGAGACAAGTCATTTATCCATCTTAGTTACCCTGGAGACAAACCCCATAGCAATGGAATCCTGCAGGCCACACACAAATTCCCAGGGAATTGGCTGCACTCACTACTACACTGCTCACTCTGCCAATAAGTGGTAAAGTTTTAAAGGACATCCACAGGTGTCAGATGCAGGGAAAATGTGCTTGTTTAGTATTTATATATCTGACACACTAATGATAACATCATTTAGTAATGCTTCAAGGTTAACAAACTCCAAAACTCTTTATTTAATAAAATTGAAACATTTTATGGCAACCAAATACACAACCTCAAGTGTGCTACAATCAAACAGCCTGGCTTCCTTCTGGCATCTCAGACACACCCACCTGCCTCCTCCCATCTCCTGGCGGAAGTGGCAAATTCAAACTTCTATTTAGCTCAGGGCTGTTAGGGTTTGAGTGCCCCTCGCCCAGCACCACTCCTGCCACCCCTGCCCTCAGACCCCACACAGTGCCAGAGAAGGCTGGGAAGTGTGAGCCTGGGAGAGCCTTGGTGGCTCTGCAAGATATTTCCTCCTGCCTGTAGCCCCCTCCACCCACCCCAGAGCTGCAGGGCTCGTAAATGTCACTTCCTCAGGAAAACAGGGTTAGGGACCTGACTGGCTGGTCGTCAGAGACTGCTTGCAAGCCATCCACTGGAGCAGGAGGAAGGGCAGATCTGGGAGACTCCCAGGGCCCCACCCCACTACACGTGACCCCCAGAGAGACGGGAGTAGAGCATGGAAGGGCCAGACCACCCCCGCAGAACTCCGGCTGGCGTTGGTCACCAAGGCCTCCAGACACTCTGGGCTATTCTGGAGGCGGTCAGGCTTCCCAGGGCTGCAGGCACCAAGTCCGGCCCTTCAGCAGCTGCCCGACTCAGTTCAGCCTCCGGGGCCTCCTCCGGGTCGGAGCACAGTTCGTCTCCCGATCCTGGTGGGCTGGGCATTGGGGACCCCGGGGTCCCTCCCGCAGGCCAACCACTCCGCCCAGGGGCTCCAGGCGGCCCGGCCAGGGCGTCTCCTAGCAGGTCCCGGAAGCTGCTGCCCTCGCGCAGCGGCATGGACTCCAGCAGGTGGTTCAGGAGCTCAGCGGCGACGGTGGCATCGATGGCGTGGCACGTGGACACGAACGTGTGCACCTCATGCATGCACTGGATGTAGCCCGCGGCGAAGCGCTCGCTGGCTTCCGCTTGCAGCTGCTCCCGCTCTGCGTACAAGGGCGGGAGAGAGAGTGCGGTGAGCAACTGCGGTGGCCCGGCCCAAACAGCCCACTGGGACTGAGCTCACCCAGGAGACACAAGGGAATACCCTGCTCTACGGGGAGCACTATCCTCCACAAGACAGGACAGGGGTGTCCGGAGGGGAAGTGCTCCGTCAGGGAGTAGGGTCGGCTGGGCGAACGCGCCCCGCGCCCAGGGGGGTAGGCGCCCTCAGCCCGCGTCAGGCCAGCCCCGCAGACACTCACCACGCGCTCGGCCCCGCAGCGCGCCCTGGACGCGCCGCACCGTTAGCTCAAGCACCTCGGCGTTCTCCAGTTTGGCCTGCACCTGCTCCGGCAAGGAAGGCAGTGAGCCGGCCGTGAGCTGCGAGACCCACGCTGCCCACCCTGCAACTCCGCGCGCCCGCACCGCCTCCGCACCTCCGCGCCCGCCAGCAGCAGCCGCAACTCCTGTAGACTCTCGTTGATCCGCGCGCGCCGCTTCTTCTCCACCAGAGGCTTCCGGGCCTGTGGGAAGCGGGCTACTGAGTCCCGGCCCCTCCTGCCCGCTTGCCCTCAGCCCGCAGCCCCGACCCGCACCTTGCGGTTCCTCCGCGTCTCCCAGCGGTCTTCATCTTCGCTACCCGCCCGGTCCCTGCCCGACGCCAGGGGCGGAGCCATGCCCGTTCACCCGGAGCACGTAGGGGCGGTGAGCGCCGGCGCCCTCGCCGCACCGAGGGTGTCCAGCACGGCCCTTGCTCCTCTGTGTCTTCCGGCTTGCGGCGGCCCCGCCCCTTTTATAGCAGCTTATTTGCATCTGAATGCGCCAATTGGCCGCGGGGGCCGGGAGCCGCCGACCGCGAGGCGCGCCGCAGCCAATGGGAGCGGCTTGCTTTGTCGGTCCCGCGGCTCAGGCAAGCAGGCAGCTGGCGGGGCGGGCCCCCAGCCCGGCCTCCGCGCGACCCCCGCGGGGGTGGCACCCAGGGGGCGGTGGCCCGGGGGGCGGTGGCTCTCGATGAGCTAGTTTCCCTCCCTGTGTTAGAAGCCCGGGTCGGCTGTGAGCGCGGGCAGGGCTTACCCATCCGCCCATCTGTGCATCTAGCCACTCTTAATAGCTCTTCCTGTCCTTCATCCAGATGCATCCAGAGAGGGGCGCTCCGGCTCCAGTGCCCAGACGCTGGGTCTTGGGTCCAGAACCACAGTTAAGTCATTGGTCTCTGGACCTAGAGGGGGCTTCAGGTTTGGACTGGGGTGGCTGCGAAGCCCCGGGAAGGTGGGGGTGAATTGGGCCGCGGGAGTGCTGCGGTTCTGCAGTCCCCAGACATTCCTTACGGACCCGTCCAGACTCCAGGTCAGAGCCCCTCTGCCGCCCTCCACCAGGACGGGAAACCTGGTGGGGCAGACCCAGGGTGCTTCTGCCCGCACCGCTCTTCCCCTGGGCCCGTCCTCCCCCACACAGAGCCTGTCTTTCTCTCGCCCCCCCTCCCTCCGCTCCTAGTCCCCTTGGTGCCCTCGTCCCCCTTGTTCCTCCTGGACTCGCTCCCCCGCTACCCCCTCCCAGCCCGCGGAGGCTGCCGTCTGGCCCCGTAACTTGATGCCGGTGACAGTTGGCAGCTGCAGCCGCTTCGGCGGAGAAAGCGGCGGCTGCGCCAAGAGCGACAGGTGTTGGCCGCGCCTTTGTCTTGTCCGCTTTGTCCCGCGAGCAGGCGGCGGGCGCACTTGTGTTGGCCAGACGCCCGCGACCCCACCCGCGGCCTCCCATCTGCCCTCCCGCCTCGCTGCGGTTGGGGTGCGTCGGCAGTGGGGCAACGCCCCCGAGTTGAGCCTTGGGGACCCTGACCCCGCTCCAGCCTTACCTGCGTTGGTCCCGCTGCCACCAGGCACACTGTGAAAGCTGAGATGCCTTCGAGGAACCTGGCCACCAGGCCACAGGCCTGCCCCTCCGCAGCGTGAGCCCCAGTGCAATTCCGCGCTGCTCACTGCGACTGCTATTGTCGGGGGGCTCTTCTGAGCCCCCTCTAGTGCTATGACCGTCGCTGGTCCAGGCTCCCATCTGACCTGAGACCCTTCTCCACCTCCTTGGCACCAGCAGTACATAGCCTGGCCTTGCAGAAGCACTGGGAGGGAAGGGAGGGTGAGGGTTGCCCCTAGCCTGACTGGAAGGCCACGCAAGAGGGAGGGGGACATGGAAGGCCTGCAATGGCTGAGCAGAGTGGCAGGACTTGCTACAGACCTCCTGCCCAGCCTGCCTGAAGATGGGTCTGGCAGCTTCCCAGTGTCCCCTTCCCTCTGGCTTCTCATCAGTGGGACTCCCACAGGCTTCAGGCAGGGCAAGTTTGACAACAGGTTTGAAGGTTCCCAGTCACCTGATGGATTTCCATAACCACCTGGGAGCCCTTCCTGCCCACTTTTACTGTCCCAGTTCTGGCTTTTGGTTGTCTCTCTATGAGTAGGCCCCTGAGACTCCTGAAGCCCACCATCACTCCCAGGAGTGTGGAACAATTGGAGCTCCTACCGCTCACCCTCTTGGAGCTGCTCAGAGACCCACTGCCTCCCCCATGCTCCACTCCTCCTGTTGGAGCTGCTGCTGGGCAGATTGGAGGGGTGGGTCCCAAGGAAGTTGGTGGCTGGCCTGTGACTTTACTCTTCCTCATCACTGAGACATCACCCCAGGGAAGGAGACCTCCAAGTGTTAGAAGTAAGTTTCCACTACTTTGAGAAAGTGAGATAGGGAGAAATAAACTCAGTGATGTTTCTTGTACTCCCAACTTTGTAAACCAATTTATAATCTTCCCATTATCCAAGTGAACAAGGCCAAACAGAGGTTTTGGGATGCTCTCCACAGAAGGGAATTCATATGGGAACTGGGTGATCAGGGCTTTGGGGAAGACCTCTGAGAAAAGTCCAACAGAGCATGGATTTCATGGGGAACTGGGTACATTGGGGGAAAGGGGACATAACAGAGGCAAATGGTACAAGCAAAAAATGAAAGGCAACTAGGAACTCCAGGAAAAACAAAAAGCTGACCAAGAAAAGAAATGTAATCTTAGCACATTACTTGGGTTAGGAGCCAGCAATTCTTTTACAGTCACAATAATTGTAATATTGTCCATAGGGTTTCAAAATTTGGATTCCATCCATAGAGAAGGCAAGGAAGGCTTATTTATAGTTATAGGACATGATATAAAGTTAACTTTGTAAAAACAAAAGGACAAAAGGACAGATGACGAGAGAGAGGAGGCTGAAGGAAGGGTTAGGGACCTCTAAAGCCCTGCCTGACACTAGAGGGGCGAGGAATGCTGTCTAGAGTTGAGGGAAAGAGAAATTAAGTACTGAAATATGACTTAGTATGACTACATAGTCTTGAGGGGAAAGAGTGTAAGTAGAGGAGGCTGTGTGAGTCAGTAAAATCTTTCTTGGTTGAAGTGAAAGTTGCAAGGATGGTGCCTGTGGCTCAGTGAGTAGGGCACCAGCCCCATATGTGGAGGGTGGCAGGTTCAAACCCTGCCCCAGGCAAACTGCAACAAAAAAATAGCTAGGCATTGTGGTGGGTGCCTGTAGTCCCAGCTGCTCGGGAGGCTTAGACAAGAGAATCGGCTAAGCCCAAGAGCTGGAGGTTGCTGTGAGCTGTGACACCACAGCACTCTACCCAGGGCAACAAAGTGAGATTGTCTCTAAAAATAAATAAATAAATAAGAAGTGAAAGTTGCCCAAGGTCCCATCGGCAGAGTCAACTTCAATTTCCCTTAGTGGTCCACTGGTTGGCTGACTCTGCCTTTTTGTCCCTGGCCACCCCATCTTGGGGCCACAAGGCCTTCCCTCCCTCTTTTGCACAGCTTGCCCAGGCTGACACTTCCTGCCATTTGTCCCTTAGGCCAATCTTGCCTTCAAAGTTTGCCTGTGCACAGACTTCCTGAGCATTTGGGCACTTTGATCCCTCCAGAGCCAGAAATAGAGGCCAGCAGAGGCTGGGCAGGGCCATGGTTGCCACGGAGAGACAGGTTTGCAGCAGAGGTGGCAAGCCATAAATCCCTGGGGGAACAAAAGTAGCAGCCTGCCTGCAGTCATCCAGGCTCCTTGTGGACAGTCTGGCCAGGAGACTTAGAGAATCTCCTTTTGGTTTGGAAATAAAGGAAGGAGCCACTTTCGGGGTTGTAAGGTAAGTAGAAATGCAATTAGGAGTCTCCAGAGGCACTCAGAAGTTCAGTGAAACAACCATAGCTGGCCATTTAGGGCAGTCTATGGAGGCCTCTGTGCTCCCAAGGACAATGCCTTTTGTCCCCCATCAGCACTTGGAGCTAGGGAGCCAGGCCAGGGGGCTGCACAGGGAGCTTCTGGGAGGCTGGGCATTGGGTCTTGGACCCATTCACCTCTCTGTTCCAACTCCCAAGGTCCTGGTTTGAAAACTAGGATGGGGTGGGCTCTTCAGGCCTCCACTCTCTTAGTCTCTCAAGACTTTGTTGCTGTGGCAAGAAGGAGTAGAAGGAGGACAGTGCTGCATTGCCTGTATCAGCCCTGATGGGGACAGAGGACTTTTCTGGTAGAGCATCCTTCTAATGCCTTGCCTTCAGCCTGGCGGCCAGAACACAGACAGCCCGAGAGAGCCAGATATGCAGGAGAAGGGAACAGAGTGGGTGCGTGGGGTCAGAGTCCAGGAGCTCTAAGGGTGTAGCCAGGAGGCAGATCCCTCAATTTGCAAGAGAAAAGACGGGGGGGGGGGCAGTTACACAATCACATTTGCATTATAGACGTTCACTCTCTCCCACACCCAGAAAGGGGATCAGAAAGAAGCAAACTGTACCAGGGAGGCCTTCAGAAGGCATTTGGCAGTGAAGATTCTGAATGCAGAATTTCTGCAGCTCACTTTAAAAAAGAAACATCTTTTGATAATCTTTGATCTCTATTCAGGTTTTCCTGTATTAAAAATACATACAACTCAAATTAAAAATATACTTGCTTTATTTACCAATTTTCTAAAAGGCAAAAAAGGTCATAAAAAGACACAAGCAGTTAAACAAATATAACAAATATATTGCACTGAGTGAAGAAAGTTCGGTTTGTATACAAACAAACCACTTGTTTGGCAAGGCTCAACAAATCATTACACAAACTCTGAGAGCTTATTTACATATCCTTTTGAAATATATTAAAAAGAAGGCTCAGTTTAAAATACAGAAAAAGTTTTTATAACACCTGTGAAAGCACACATACTAAGGAAAATATTACTCGATGCTTGGCATCATGTAAACAAATCACAAATTGATCAACTCAACTCAGCGCATGTTGAAGCTACACAATTAACGACCAAAGAGTATATATTAAATGATAAAAGAATGCTGATGGTAAACATTCATAACAGTAGAGAGAGAATGTTCTGGCAGTTCTGTATTTAGGGAACACACCCGTAACCTTAGATTATCACCTATTCTCTTACCATCTGACTTTAGAGGCAGAAAGCAGTTTGTAACATCTAATTTCCATAAAACATATAGACTATAACCTTATCCTGAGTATCTGAAGGTGATACTACTTTGTAAATTAAAAAAGTGTTCCTTCAATAAGACTAACATTCAAGCATAAGGTGGCTGTGCTGTGAAAACCAGCTGGATTATAAGGACATCTCCCCTTTCCTGTAGCCACTTCCTCACCAAAGAACAAGGAGAACTCTGCTTCCTTTTAAGCTTCATAGAATTGGTCCAATTTTAAGTCAATTGTTTTACTAGTGATAATTTTGCAGTCACACCAGGGATCATTATTAAATTTCCCGAAGTCTTTGGGACATATGATGCAACATGAGGTTCTGTATAAAGTTGGGCAGATTGAACTTGCTTTTCCCCAAGTGTCCCAAGCTGTGAAAGTTCATATGGTGCTGGCAGAGTTGTGGGGCTGCACCAGGTGAGACTGGGCTCCTGAAGAGAATGAGGGCCGGCACTCAGCCCAGGTGCAGTGGGTGAGGTGAGCACTACACCCCAACAATGCAGATGTAGCTGAATGCAGTGGGGACACACTTCACAGCAGTGGCAGCAGCTCTCTGCCAGAAGACGACCTAACACCACTGGCTCTAAGCGTGTTGGTCAAGACCTAGTTTGCAGGAGAAAGTCACCATGTGACTAGTAATATATTTTTACACACATATTGTCCATCACAGCCTGAAAAGGGGAGACAGGAACAATGTGGAAACACACAGAAGGTCTGGTGTGCGTTAATCTGGTGGAGCTGGTCACATAAACCAACTAGGCTCCTTTAGTCCAAAGAAAATGTTTCAACTTTGTTCACTACAAACAAAAGCTGTATCAGACTGAAGTACCGACCACTACAGTGCCTGAAGCTGAAGCTGCTGTTTGCCACAGTATGCTGCACACCGTTTAACGCAAAATATTTGGAAATAAAATTAAGAGAGGTTGTTATTTCCACTTGGTATGTTAAAAAGAAAATCTAGATCAACTAAATTAAAATTTAGATAAAAAGCAGCTCCCAAGAGAGGGCAGAATTTGATCTGATCAGACATACCCTAGGAGAGCTCTGGAAGGCCACAGCCCTAAGCCTGGAGTCCTATGTGGCATCCTGAGCATTTGTCATAGCTTGGCAGGTGCCGTGGGATGACCCAGAGGTGGCCATTGGGGCACCAGACAGGGACTCATCACAGGTGAATGACTTCTGAGAGCCAGGCAGCTTCTCTGACACTCACAAATAGTTTCACTCTTTCTCAAGTTAAATAACAAATAAAATCTCTTCCCCTATCTCATAAAACTCCTTATTTATATTTTAAATATAAAAATGCTCTTCTTCTGGGCAGTGCCTGTGGCTCAGTGGGTAGGGCGCTGACCCCATATACCAAGGGTGATGGGTTTGAACCCGGCCCCAGTCAAACTGCAACAAAAAAATAGCCAGACGTTGTGGCGGGTGCCTGTAGTCCCAGCTACTCGGGAGGCTGAGGCAGGAGAATCACCTCAGCCTGGGAGCTGGAGTTGCTGTGAGCTGTGACGCTACAGCACTCTACCAAGGGTGATAAAGTGAGACTCTGTCTCAAAAAAAATAAATAAATAAAATGCCCTTCTTCCCCAACCTTCCCACCCTCCACAGTTTTAAGTCACTCCTTCAGAAAACTATGATTTTTTTCTAAAACAAAAAAAGCAACATAAATATGTGTCCATTTCATTAGAAACAAACGCAAAGATTCTTTCCTGTCTTCTAAGCACCGTCTAATGTAGATCACTGGCTCTCGGGTGGGGGGCAGGGTTATGTCTGTTCCTCATTCTTGTGACTCAAGGGGGGTCCATTTTCCACTTCTTTGGTGTCTGAAACTTCGCTTTGTCCCAGAGAAGGGATATCTTCTTCATATGTCACACAAATGCTGCCTTTTTCCTTGTTTTCACAATAAACACATTCCTTAAAAGAAAAAACATAAAATCAGTAATAACCATGAGATCAGAGATTGCCATCACAAAAATGTTTAAGGTATAGGTGACCAGGTGTCAGCCACAAGGCTGCCAACAAGGACGAAAAGTCCCGCTGCAGGGAGATGACGCTCCGGTAGAGGAGACGGGACAGTAACCTAGACAGGAAGGGTTCCGTGGTACACTCAGGAAGGAAAAGCACTGTGCTGATGTGGAACAGCATGCAGACCAAGTGTGTGCAGAGGATAGCTGTGATTTTAACTGGACATTCAGAATATGCCACACGAAAGGTGATGCTGTGCTTTTGAAACACATCCATATATTCTTGGTTTTTTTGTTGTTGTTGTTGAGACAAGAGTCTCAAGCTGTCACCCTGAGTAGAGTGCCATGGCTTCATCACTCACAACAACCTTCAAATCAGGATCAAGCGCTCCTCTTGCCTCAGTTTTTCTATTTTTGGTAGAGATAGTGTTTCACCTTTGCTCAGGCTCATCTCAAACTCATGAGTTCAAGCAATCCACCCACCTCAGCCTCCCAGAGTGCTAGGATTACAGGCGTGAGCCACAGGGCCTGGCCCACATCCACACATTCTGTGCTATTCCTCTCTCAGCAGATAGGCCTAGTTCTCCTCCCCGTAAGCCTGGGCTGGTCTGTCACAAAGACGATGCCATGCCTGCTTGCTGCTCCTCAGTCATAAGAGGCAGGGCGCTTCTTGCTCTTGGGGGAAGTCATCAGCCATGTCATGAGGACACCCAGGCCATGCTATGAAGAAGTGCCCATGGCAAGGAAGTGAGGCCTCCTGCCCAGCCAGGACAGCCCGATGGGCCTGCAGTGCGCTGCTGTGGAAGCCAGTCCACCAGCCTTCAGACGACAGACGCCTCAGCCAATATCTCACCTTCGACCTCAGGGGAGACCCTGTGTCAGAACCAGCTAGGTTGCCCTCAAATTCCTGAGGCCCACAAACTGTGAGATAATAGGTTTTGTTGTATCAAGCCACTGAGTGTCAGGGAATCTCCTGTGCAGCAGTGGCCCAGTGGTCAGTGGCTTGAAGCTGGAATAAGCCACACACACAGCTGAGGGAAGAGGGTTCTAGGCAGACGTAAGGGCAGGTGTAAGGATCCTGCGGCCGCAGGCTGTGGAACTGGAGAGGAGAGTGTGGGGCAGCGACAAGGCAGATGGAGGAGAGAAGTGAGCAGGGCAGACCGAGTGGGCATGTGACTATTTACTCTGAGGGAGGTGGGGCAGCACTGGAAGGGGTCTGAGTTGTGGGTGACATGGTCTGACTTCAGGGGATGTGGGGAATACTGAATGTAGCTGGAACTACTCTGACACCGGGGCCAGCACCCTCCTGACTTAGACGTGGGTGGTGGCGCTGGAGGTGAGGAGAAGGGGCTGCTCTGACACCGGGGCCAGCACCCTCCTGACTTAGACGTGGGTGGTGGCCCTGGAAGTGAGGAGAAGGGGCTGCTCTGTGCACCTAAAAGGTTGAGCCCAGAGTTTACTAATGCATGGGAGGGGACGGTGAGAAGGAGGGTCCAGGACAATTCCAGGGTCTGTGGCCTGAGCAACAGAAGGAGGCAGTTGTTCTTGAATGAGATGGACAAGAGGTGGAGAAGCTGGTTTTCCTTGAAGATAGTGAGGAGTTTGGTTCTGGACACAATAAGCTGGCCAGAAGGCTGGCCAGAAGTGGATGCTAGGGAATCTCTGCACATGGATACTATTACATTTCAAGTCCAGAGGCAAGAGGTGGTAACTGGAGGGAGCACATACAGAAGAGAGGTACAGACCAAAGAGGGAACCGGGGGGTCAGAGCAGAGAGCCCAGAGAGCAGCCTGAGGCCAAGGGGAGACAGAGCTCCAAGGAGTGAGCTGTCCACTGCCTGTGCCACAAAATGTCCCCCAGGACAGGACAGAGGAATGACAGTGCAGCTGCCGGAGGACCTTGACAAGAGCAGCTTCCACAGTGTGGCAGGGCAAAACCGCCTGGAAGTGAGTGGGAGAGAAGGCCTGGATGCATCCATCTGGGGACCTGCAGGGCAGCTAGAGGGACAGCCCATGAGTGTGATGGCAGAAATGTGGCACTACCACTGTTGCTTAATGGTCTCCATGGATACTGAGAGATTACGACAGGCGAGGTCTTGTAGTTTTTTGAAAATAGAAAACAGAATTGAGCAAAGGAAAAAACATTCAGTTTTCAGCAGGGGATTAAGATTAGATTTTCCACCCTCTGCAGAAACAGTGTGAAGCCATAGGAGGAAGGCTTTTTCCAGGCAGACTTCCTGGCCTCGCAGTACCTTTTTCTAAAATAAACTTTTGATGTTAGAAGTTTTAGATTTACAGAAAAGTTGCAAAGATAGAATAGGGAGTCTCCATCATAGTGCCTCCCAGGGCCACACGAGGAAAGCACACTGTGAGCTTACCGCCACGTCCAGGGCCGTGGGCAGGCTGCCCACACGCATCCACGGGTGGACCTCGCTCAGCTCCTGCTTCTGACTCTCCGTGAACCGGGGCTGGAACTTCTGCAGTAGTTTCAGCTTCTCTCTGTCCTCCTTCAAAACTGTTTCTAAATTTCTTCACAAAATATTTAGAAACAGGTAAGCTTCAGAATGTTTTAAGAGTTTCTTTTTTTAAAAGACACACTCATTTTCTACCAACTCTTTCAGTATTAATAATGTAGTTTTCTTCGTTCATTTGGAATCAACTATCCCGTTTACAGTAACTTAATCTCCCTAGTAAGTAATCTGTAGTCGTTCCATTAAAATGACAATCCGGGTCAAGACTTAATTTTACTATCTTTTAACTTAGACATGGGGCTGGGTAGCTGCAGGTACGAATACCCTGGTTCTGCACAAGTGTGGTTAATCTGAGAAATTCTTACCACCCAGACAATAGGTAGGGCAATCTTCCCCTGCCACCAGCCAACACTGGGCTGGGCTGCAGCCACCTCAGAGATGGAGATCCAGTCTCCCCTAGCCAACCTGAGGCCTCAGGAGTTAATCCTTCCCTCACTCCCTCCCTCTCTCCCAGCTTCCCTTTCCAAGGCAGTGCTGCTCAAGGGCTGAACTCACATCTAGTTCCACAGAGCAGCCTGACCTGGACTCTGAGCCTGGGCACAGACCCAGGGTCACTACCAAGCAACCACCAGCCTTGGACTGGTCATCTACCTTGACCTTTGAATTATTCAACTCTACGACACACAGATGGACACCTCATTTGCCCCAGAAGGTTACTGGCCAGGGGGCAAAAGAATTGACTCTGGCACAAATGCTTCACCAGAGCTGAGCCCTCCCTCCTTGCAGGATGCAGGATGTCACTCCATAGGGCTCCCTGGAAACCCAGCGTCACCCTGACGGAAGCCTGCCTCTCTGCTGCACACAGCTCCAGCTTTATCTCTCACAGAAGTGTCCTGCCCTATCCTGTTGTTCTGGGCATTTCCTAAGCCCAGCTTCCCTGGTTCCTAGGAAGAGGCCAAGTGGGTACCGGGCTGGCAGCTGGTACGTCATCATGACGCTGTCGTCCGTATCGGCCATCAACAGCCAGATGGGGTCCTGCAGGACACACTTGAGGAGGTGCTCACTGCCTTCCATGCCTGCATTCAGCTTTGCTCTGTGATTATTCTCTGAAGAGTCAATGCTTCCAAAATATTTGCTGGTGTGACTTGTGTCACTACTGCCTTTAAAAACAACATGTGGTGGGTCAAAACCTTGAAATACAAAATTAAACCTTCACTAACATGCTTATATGAAACCATGAAATTTTAGGACTGAAGAACTTTAATAGGTAATGAGCATCTGTGTTGGTGGGTTTTCCCCTTCTCTTCCCAATTCTGCAATGGTCTGTGTATCAGAAAGCAGAATATCTGTTAGTATCACAGAGGTGGTTCTTTTCTGGGGGAGGCCTCGAGAAGCTCAAGTGAAGCTGTGTCCTGGAAACCTGGGTCCCTCTCTCCCAAGCTCTGTGTCTGCAGACTCAGAGCAGAGAAGAGTGAGCCTGGAGCACTTTGCAGCCAGCCTCACTTGAGCAGAGATGCCTGCCAGCAAGGGCAGGTGAGAGGAAGCCTCGCTCCATCGAAGGAGGGAGCTTAGATTTTGGACAGCATGTGCATTTCTGGTTCTCGTGGCTCCAGACCCCACTTGGGAGACCCCAGGCAGTGAAGGTTTGCAGGTGGCCACAGCCTGTGTTCCCACAAGTGGAACTAGTTCAGGAAGGAAAACTGGCCCCTGGGGAATCTGAGGGACAATCCCACAAGGGGCTGACAAGGGGCCCACTGTGTGGGCCTGTAGTAACATAGAAATCAGAAGCAAACAGGTGGGCTACAGACTCCCAGCTCGCTCAGGAGAGTGTGTGTGGACCTCATGGGTTGTGGGGGCTGCTCTGGGAGGTCAGCGCTCCTCCAAGAGGAGACACATGCCCACTTCCCCCAGGATCCACATACCTGCCGCGCTGTGGGAAGCATTGCCGCCCAGTGAGCTGGAGCCCAGCGAGTCCGAGGTGGCGGAGGCTGCGCTCCCAGACAGGGCTGAGCCTGAGGCTGAGCAGAGGTCTTCATTCAATAGGAGGTTCAGCAGGTCACTGGACGTGGAGAGGGCGTCACTATTCTGGGCCTCTGAGGACTCGTGATGCTTCAGGGACAGGGAGAAGAAGACATGGCTGTTCAGGGGGCTCAGTCACAACACAGCACACAGGGCCAAGATAGCAGACTGCACAGTGAGCGCTCTGCTGTGTGCTGGGAATGGCATCTAGTTACATCTGATCTCAGGAGGGACCCTGGAGCCTGTCGTGCTTGGTCCCCTCCTCCTGCACAGCAGTGTGGGATTGGGAGAGTGTTTCACACAGCACCCCAGGACTTGCCCTCGTGGGGAAGGGGGGCTCTGTGCTGCAGCACCCTAGGCCTTCCCCTCGTGGGGAGGGGGGCTCTGAACTGCAGCACCCTAGGCCTTCCCCTCATGGGGGAGGGCTCTGCACTCCCAATGGGGGTTGCCTTGTGACTAAGGGTGGGTTTGGCCTAGAGAGCATCCCTGATCCTGTGGGCCCAGGACCCCAGCAACAGGAATAAGGAGCTGGGAGGTGCAGTGGGAGAACCAGTATATTTCTGAGGGGGCTCTCAACCCTCAGGCAAATGAGAGGACCCTTCCAGACAACGCCCCCCACTAAGGGCCTATGGGTTGCACTGTGGCCAATGCTGCTACACATCCAAACTCATTTGGAAATACACAAGTGCTTGACTGGAAAAGAAATTATAACTCCATTAACCGATTAAGAACCCCACACCTGTGTCCCTAAGGCTTCAGGGGGTGGAAACCAGGGTCACTGGTCCGGGACTATGGAAGCATACCTTTTCCCTGAGCACCAGAGCCAGCTGGCACTGCCCTCTGAGGAACCTTAGTTCCCTCATTTAACTGGTTGTGGTTTATCTTTAAAGAGTCATTTAAAAGGTTGAGGCCTACAGGTGAGTGCAGTGGTCTGAGCCTGTAGTCCTAGCTACAGGGGAGGCCAAGGCAGGAAGATCACTTGAGACCAGTTCAAGACCAGCCTGGGCAACATAGCAAGACCCTCATCTCAAAAAGAAAAAAATATTTGAGGTCCATAAGTACTACTTCAACATGTCACTTTTTGGAATTCTATATCTATCATCTTTCATGCCTACCGCAAGATGGTAAAAAGCTCCAAAAAAATCTATTCTGATGGGATCATTTTAACTAGGAAACACTACTTTCTGGCACATATAACTCCAGAGTTCAAGGAGCTCAGTCCTGACACAGCACACAGGACCAAGCAGATCACATGGTCACTGGGACCACAGCATAAAAGCCCATGTCTGCGTACAGGAGCTCGCAGCCTGTCATGTGTGCTATTTGCGACCTACTTTAGGGAAAGAGCATTAGGAAATCCTTACAGTTGGAGAAGCCTTTGGCTGTCGGTCCCGAGAGGTGCCAGGTTTGCAGTCCAGCCCCGCAGCTGCTATCCCTGTGGCTCCCACTGTCCCCGCAGTCCCAGTGCCACCCTCAGGGGTCTCCTCTAACTGCAGGAGGTTGAGTTGCAGGGGCGAGCTGCCACGGGACTGGAAGAGTGGCGGGGAGGCCCGGCCTACAGCTGATGGTGGGGTGGCTGGGGTGGCTGGGGTTGCTGGACAAGTACATGGCTGTCTAGGGGTAGAGGTCTGGCCTGGGAACTTGGGCTGTGAGGGAGAGGTCATCTCGGTCACAAGCATGGGATGGCTGGGGAAGTGAGGGTGGCCGGGGAAGAAGGCCTGTGGCAGGCTTGGGGGACCCGGGGGGAAGGAGTAGCTGGGTAGCACGAAAGCCACAACAGGGGCTAAGGGTGTGGGGAAGGGTGGGGACTGGACTGCAAACTGGTTCTGGGCGTCCATGGGCACAGTGGGCACTGTGAAGCTGGCGTGAGGAGCTGCAGGCGGGGCCGCCAGAGTCCCTGCTGTTGGAAACACGGGCAGGGAGAAAGTGGGCACTGGAGCAGGACAGGGCACAGTGGGGCAGCTGGCCTGGGATGTGTCTGAAGGTGACCAGGCAGTGGCATTCAGGCCTAAGAGTGGGGGTCGGTGGAGCACAGGACCCCCCGACCCGGTGCTGTCAGAGGAGTCTCGAGGCTTGACTCGTTTGGACTTTAGTTTTCTGTTTTTTCCAGTTTTTTTCCAAGATGAATCTATTCCAGAAGTGTTTCTTAGTCCAGAGGCAGCTAAAACATGGAAAAACCATCTGACTTAAAATCTTAGAGACACAAATCTCAGAACCCTAAAGCCATCTCTTAGTTCCACAGTCCTGTGTTCCCAAATGCCAGTCCAAGGGTCTACCTGATGGTCTTCCCTGATCCTTGGTAAAGTGAGAAAAATCAGGGAAAATGTTAGGTTTTCCATGGAACTAAACTCGGCCAATTGAAGGACAGCCCTGAATTGTAGGATCACATTCTTTCTTTTCTTTTATGAAATGCTAATGTAAGAAGTAGTATTAAAAAGGTAAAAAGGGCCAGGCATGGTGGCTCACGCCTGTAATCCCAGCACTCCGGGAGGCCAAGATGGGTGGATTGCCTGAGCTTAGGAGTTTGAGACCAGCCTGTGCAAGAGTGAAACTCATCTCTACTAAAAACAGAAAAACTAGCTGGTGCCTGGTGATGGGCACCTGTTGTCCTAGCTACTTAGGAGGCTGAGGCAGGAGGATTGCTTGAACTGAAGGGTTTGAGGTTTCTGTGGAGCTGTAATGATGCCAGGGCACTCTACCGAGGGTGACTGAGTGAGGCTATCTCAAAAATAAATACATACATAAATAAATAAATAGGTTCTACTTTCATAAATAAATGAATAAGCACGCGAGTCCCCACTGTTAACCAATATTTGGGTAAATAACTACTGGCTTATGAAATTTGTCAGGCAGATCCACTGGCCTGGTCTAACTTCCCCAGTTTTCACTTTATAGGCTTTGTCACTACTGCTCCCTAAGAAGAGACGCTTCCTCTCCCTCCTGTCAAATAAAGTCCAAGTGCAGCCAGCAGGGGGAGCACCTGCTTCCGGAACCACATTCTCCACTCAGTGACAAGTGCTGCTGGCACAGACTTTCTTCAGGAGGATATAAGGGAGTCTGGGTGTGTCCCCAGTCCTCCCCCCCAGGGAGCCTTAGTTCCTCTCCCATCTCACAGAGTAACTTGGGGCTCTGCAGCAGGTGTGCAGGGTCATCTGTCAGCTGTGCCAAGGAGTCCCATGCCTGTGACATGCTGAAGGCAAAAGGCTATGTGACTGGAAGTTTCGCAATTCAGCCTTTCTACCTGGTGTTCTTCTTATAAGAAGTCTGTCCCCCCTGGGAAGAGTGGCTAAAGCACCGATTCCTGGATAACACATCTGGGCCTGGCAGGGCTGCAGAGGGCACATTTTCCTAATTTCTATGGAAAATCCCTGCGGTTGGCAGTAACCCCGAGTCCTCAGAAGATGGAAAGAAAGAAAAGAGTGGAAAAGACTAATCCTTAATAAGGTTGTAGGATTCTTTAATTTCTTAGGCATTCTCTTCAGTGTCTGCCCAGAAATCTAGGGGAGCTGGGTCCTTATGGTTCACTAGCTCTAAACCCTGCCCCAGTGACTCAGGGAGCTAAGGAAGGTGTGGCTCATCTGACCAATGCAGGCCTGGTCTGTGGGGTATGGGAAGGTATTGGAGGGCAGGAGCCAGGCTCCTGGACCAGGAGAGAGGAGAAGAAGCTAATTTACCTCATCTCCCCAGATGTTCTTGGCTTAAAGATCAGCTTCACACACCATGGACTCTGCTCCATTTTGGAGCTGGGAGCCCAGCCCTGGAGAGCCCAACACCAAGTGCCCATCCTCTGAGGGGTCTTGTCAGTGTGGTCAGATGGCAGTGGGGCCCTGCCTAAGTCAGCTGTATAGGTAGCAGATGAAGGACCCACAGCAGCAATGGCCACTAGCCCAGATCCTGCACTCCACAGGGGCCAGCCTGCGCCAGCAGCTGGTGTCTATAGCAGTACAACCCATGGGACATGAGGTTATATCCTGAGAGCCCTCCCTGGGCTATGGAGGTCACAGCAGCAGATTGCAATGCCAGTGAAGTTCTAATAGCTGCCTTACAAATTAATGCCTCTGAAATCCCAACATTTCACATTTCAAAATCCCCTGGACTCAGTACCATTAGGAATAAAGTTTTTAAAAGCCCATCTTTAATTCAGGCATTATTACTTACTTCGTTCACTCAACTGCCCCTTGGATCTTTCTTGTAAGTAATAATGGCAGTGAGATTGGAAAATATTGAGTTTTCTTATTTCCTTGAACTTTTGCAGGAAGCTCTGCTCCTCCTTCTGGGTATGCGCAGCGAGCACTTCCTTGGTGAGGCCAAGCTTCTTAAAGGGCTCCTTCTCCTGGTTGAGGCCACAAGGCAGGGAAGGGCCCACCAGGCAGTCCAGGGACTCAGGACCGCTCACAGAATCTTCCACCATCTCTGTAATATAAGACAACAAGTCTCTGAGCTGCATGCCCTTTGTTTTAAAATTATTCCCTGGCTTGGTGCCTGTAGCTCAAGCGGCTAGGGCACCAGCTACATACACCAGAGCTGGCAGGTTCAAATCTAACCCCAGCCTGCCAAACAACAATGACAACTACAACCAAAAAGTAGCTGGGTGTTGTGGTGAGTTCCTATAGTCCCAGCTACTTGGGCAGGTAAGGCAAGAGAATCACTTAAGCCCAAGAGTTGGAGGTTACTGTGAACTGTGATGCCACAGCACTCTACCCAGGGTGACAGCTTGAGACTCTGTCTCAAAAAAAAGAATTATTATTCCCTTTTTTGAAAATGGGTCTTGTTACTCTGTCCAGGTCTGTCATCTAGGCTGGAAAGCAATAGCACTGTCACAGCTCACTACAACCTCAAACTCCTGGGGTCAAGTGATCCTCCCAACCTCCACCTCCCAACTAGCTGGGACTACAGGTGCCCACTACTTATGAACAAGACAAATCATTCACATGTCAGATCACTTAATGATGCTCAGGCATGAGGATGAAATTCACGATGTCTCTGTTTAGCTTTCTGAGAAAGTTCACAGTAAAAGGTAAAAACAGCGCATGAAAGGCCTGATTGCAGGCTGGCTGAGAGCCCTGCAGCTGAGCAGGCTGCAGTGCAGGGAACCGGCTGTTCTCAGCTCTTAGAACACAGCAAAGTCCACATTTGTTTGTCCCTCTGGGCTCAGGACCATGCACAGTGGCAGTGGACATCCTGTGGGACTGTGGAGGCAGACAGGACAGGGGCCAAGTGGGGCCGACTGACCGTCTTGTAAGGCAGGATTCGGGGCCTACATGCACTTTTTTCTTCATCATCTCCCTAAAATGAAATGAATTTAGGATTCATTTTGATCACACAATTCTGAAGAGCAAGAAAACTCAGCCACTAAGCTGCAAGACTTGTTCTAGGTTCTGTATGTAAACAGAGAGCGATAATGATCCCATCTTTTCCCAGGGCACTGAGACTGGGCAGAGGAGAGGCCCCAGCCTCACCAGGGAAATGGGCGGTCCAGCAGCGCTCTGAGTTGTCTCAGCGCCCACCCAGGGGCTCAGCCCCACCCTCAGCTTTCCACATCGATGCCAGAGCAGCTGGCTGCCACCAGGTGGCATCACAGCACTGAAGGACTGTCCCAGGCCACCTCTGCGCTTCGGGCAACTGGATTTCCTGGAACCCGCTCACTGGGTGAGGGCAGGATTCTTCTGCACTTAGATAACTTAAAGACAAATTTAAGATGGCAGCCAAATGTCTCCTTTCTTTCTTTTTTTTTTAGACAGAGCCTCAAGCTGTCTCCCTGGGTAGAGTGCCATGGCATCACGCTCACAGCAACCTCCAACTCCTGGGCTCAAGCGAGTCTCCTGCCTCAGCCTCCCAAGTAGCTGGGACCACAGGCACCCGCCACAATGCCCAGCCATTTTTTGGGTTGCAGCCATCATTGTTGTTTGGCGGGCCCGGGCTGGGGATTCAAACCCGCCACCTTAGGTGTATGTGGCTGGCGCCTTAGCCGCTTGAGCCACAGGCGCCGAGCCCAAATGTCTCCTTTCTATTTTTGAAATCAAATTGCTCTCTGATGGAAGGGCCCACAGTCATACCTAACTCCGGCTGGGGTTTTTTGTCCCCCACGTGGACGATGGTGCTGCTGTAGCTGCACTGGCTGGTGAGGGACACCACGCTCTCAGCCTTGCTGGGCAGAGCCAGCGAGGTGAGGTGAGTTCTGACCTCCGTGTGGCCGTTTGCTTTGGAGGGCAATACTGCCTCTTTATAAGACAAGACAGAAACACACACAAAAGCACAGTTAAAACGAACGTTCAGGTAAGGAAGGCCACCTGTCCCGGCAGCGTTCTAATCCCCCAGTGACTGCAACCTGCCCCTTCCAGGCTGGTCACACCCATTCCATAAGTGCTCAGGTTGGGCATGATTTGTCCTTAGTGTTTATTCAAAGGAGAAAAGCACAGAAGAGGAAATTCCACGTGGGAATAGTTATACACTTAAACTCCGAGGCCTGAGGGGTGGGGCCTCTGTCAGAGCCCTGAAGGAGCCAACAGTGACCCAGGCAGTGTCAGCCAGCCGCCTGCTCTCCTTCCTTGAGGGCTGGGGCAGGGACTGTCAGAACACAGCATGGCTATTCCATCTACTGTGCTCATTTCAACAATGGGAGACTCTTATTTCTGGTGCTAGGCAGGACCTCTTGCAGCACATGTAATGTCTAAGCAGCCTCAGGCTAATGGGGCATTTCCATTCACACGCCAAGGCTCCTCTTAGATGTGGGGCAAAGGAAGCCCTAGAATGGTAACTCAGGACAGCCCCACTGGGCTCCTGTCCTCACAGCCCAGGCTCCAAGATGAATGGTCATCACCTGTGGCTCGTAAGGAGGCTGCTGGCTTTGGACATAAACAGCCTACACCCTCATACTAGATCTACAGAAGCCACTCAGAATTGACATGGGAGGGAAGAAGGGACCTTCCAGGGCTGGAGATGGCATCTGATTCCACTGTGGAGGGTGCAATTATCATACATTGAATAGCTCAGGAAAGAACAGATACCTCCGGTGGGCATGGGGCTGATTACGGCCTTCCGCTTGTCGCTGGACCTCAGTGTGGGGATGTTGGCTGGGAACTCACACTTCCGCTTCAGAGTGGCGGCCTCGCTGCAGCTCTCCAAGTACCTGGGTGAAGGGCGTGAGCCGTGCCATCTCACAACACAAAAGGCAGTGGGTGCATGAGACAGGGGTGTCACAACCGCTGGGGTACCTGATGACGCTGTCCAAGCAGCTGATCTGCTGGTAGGAGCAGGTGGGCTGGGTCCTGCAGGCCAGGTCCTCTGGCATGCTGGCCTTGGAGAAGCTGGCTCCTGAGCTGTCCTTCTTTGCAGCAGGTACAGCTTTCATCTGAGCTGAGGGACTACTTGGCACTTCTAAAAAAACCCCAAATAGTTCTTTCACTTAATACTTTCCCCCAAAGATGACACATTCTGTAAAGCACTTTAATTCTACCTAAAGGTAAGGCTGGGGACTAATATGCTTCACAGACACAGGAGTTCAGTGACAGCCTGGTACCTGGCAGCCAGCTGGCTTGAGTGCCATGGTGCCATCTGTGGAGGGACATTGTAGGGAGCTCTGACCTAGGCCTGGGCCTGCTTCTCACTGGGGTCAAGGCTGTCCCCAGGGTCGGGCACTCAGCAGTGGCAGAGGCTGGTTCTTGCATGGATGCCTAAGCCTGAGGGGCCAGTGAGACCCTGAGTGCTTTACGTTCCTCCTGGGCAGAGCCAGTGTCTCCACCGAGGTGTCTGCACTGTGATAAGGATTTGACTCTCAGGGGCCCTCGAGTACACAGCCATGTCCAGCTCATTAGTGTGTCCTAACACCCAGCACAAAGTCCAGCACACACATAGGGCAGGCCAGAGTATGCACTGGGCCTCCCCAGTCCTCATGGGACGCTTCCCGTAGGAGACGAGGTAGAGCAAGAGCCCCCCCTCCAAAGGATTGGGGTGCACACATGTGTGTGCCCATGTAAGGAATGCATGCAGGGCAGAGAACAGCCTGCCTGGACGGGCCTTCGGGGTACTATGGACAGCAGCATTTGCTGAGTGAGGCCCATGCTGCCCTGGCCTCATCATGGGGGTCTGAACAGGGCGAACTGTGCCGAATCAGGAGAGACGGGACCACACCGAGGGTGCGTTCCTGCCACCAGAGTAGCACTAACCCGGCCCCTCTGCTCACACGGTCACACTAAGCTCTATTAAGGAAATGAGTATATACGTGTGTGTGTGTGTGTGTGTGTGTGTATTTAACATTTTACCTGAACTGGACTTTTTCTTTTGTTCTCCAGGTTCAGGAGAATGATGACTTTTCGTTTTGGTCCTGTTACCACTTTTACAAGTTTCCTTGAAGAAAAACAAAATGAACACGTTACTCTGGGAGGCGCCCAAGTCTGTCTCCACAGTGAGAGCAGAGGGCAGCGGGGACAATCCAGCCTCCCAGTCTAAGACATGCCCCGATCTGTAAAACTGACCTGACCACTCCCAAGAGTGATAAAGAAGGCAAGGTAAAGTGCCAGGCCACATTTCTTCCTTCTAGCCCCCGTTAATCTTCACTTTTGCTTGGTCTGCCTGCTATGAGTAAGTTTCATGCAAATCTTTACCTAGTTTCTAGCTGCTTTGACTCTTAGAGAGATTTTAAAATGAGGCCCAAGTGAACAAAGTTTATAGAGTAGGCGGAAATAGCGGAGGTTCTAACAGCTTCAGTATCCGCCAAGGTCTCTGTTCACTCGCATTAGCAGACTCATCTCCTCAGGAAAGAGAATGAGGGGACATACGGCTCTTCTCTGGTGAGAGTCCTCATGGCCGTTGCTGTCGCTGGAGGACGTCTGGCTCATGAGGTGCTCGTGAGACCCGTTGCTGCCCAGACTCCCGTAGCCACTGGAACCGCTGTGGGGGACAGGCTGGGGAGACAGCAGACAGTGCTGTGGACTTGGCCAGGGCCACCAAGCTTACCATAGAGCCTCAGCTTGTGGTAATCCTCCCAATCCCTGCCCCATAGAGGCCGCCGACCAGTCCAAGGTCACATGGCACAAACAAAGGGGGCTTAGGTTTGAGCCCTGAGGTCAAAGTCTCCAGAGGTGGACTTCTGGCCTCCACCCCAGTGCCCTATCCCCAGATATGCAGTCAGTGAGGAGACTCCACTACAGAGGAACTGGTTCAACCCTCTCATCAAGGCACAGCTGCTAACACTCAACAGTCCATTGAGGGGTTTTAAAAACAAAGACTGATGCAAACACAGTTTCACACCCTGTCCTGTGGCAACTGAGAAGCAGAAACCTACTCACTGGAGCTGACTATGGTCACACTGGATTGGAGGGAGCCCTACACTAGCAGGAGGTCACTTAGGGGTGACAGGAAGAGCCCCTGTCAGAGCATGGGGACGGGTGTGGGCCTGGGCGCATCTCCTGTAGCTGTGGTTCAGACACAATGTCTACATATGAGGCTGGAAAAAGCCGAGGGTATATTGGACAGTCTTGGGTTGCACAGACCGTGCCCACACTGGCCCTTGGATGTTCAGAGAAGGACAGATGGAGCTGAGTGGATGTGCTGGGGGCGAGGAGGGATCGCAAGCAGGGTGTTCAGGCCCCACACCCACCTGCAGCAGCAGCCGGTGGATCTGCTCCGTGAGCTCCTGAATGCTGGGACTTGGGGCCTTTTCTTCTGTGCATGGGTGTGCTGCGAACACGTCCTCATTCAAAGGGCCCCTGTGAGGTTCCAACTCATCTTATTAAGGCTGCTGCACGGACAGCAGCCCTGTGCTGCCTATCAGGCCCCCCGCCTCCCATCTGCAGCTCCCAGGCTGTCACCTGTTCACTCTGCCTGAATGAGGTCCCTCCCAGTGGGCCAGAGGGCAGGTCACCCTTGCCTGCCTGCCCAGGGCTCCCCACTGGGAGGTGGCAGGAGGTGACTTTGGTCCTGGTCTCTCAGCCCCTCCCTACACTACCGTGGGTGAAGTGAGGATGGCCCAGGACCCCACGGGAGAGCCGGAATACTCACACCCTGACTTTATGTCTCCCGATGATGAAGGAGATTTTCCTGCTCCAGGGGTTGATGAAGCTGGACCAGCTGGTGTCCAGTGTGATGTACTCCCCATTCTGAGCCCGGAAGCGGATGGGGGAATAATCAAAAGGCTGCCCACCGGACTGCAGGACTAGGAGGGGGACAATAGTGTTCAGAGTATGGACAGGAGCAAATGGGGTTCACAAGAGAGAAAAGACAAGTCAGGACACTCAGGTCTGGGATCACTTGCAAATACCTCTTCAGAGCCACTGCTTTCAAACTCCCATTTTTGCTTTAAATTAAAACAGAGAGGTTATTTCCTGTCTGCTAGAGCGATGGCTAGGCCTGCTGGGGACATATAGAGTCCCTCCCTTGGCCTGGTTAGCACCTTCTGAGACACGAGTAAAAAGGTCTCCCCCCTCCCATCTGTCATCAAAACCAACAATAAAAATGAGACACCAAGGACTCAGGCCATAGCTGAGGGACTCCTGGCCACAATGGAGCTCCCAGGAGTTTACTCCCCCGGTGCTGATGATGTGAGGGCTCAGATGGGAAGGGGGCACCCCCCACAGGCTTATCCTTAGCTGATCTGACCTGCAGGGCTTGGGCTGGTCTCAGGAAGAGGCCCTAACTGAACACAAGCCCCTTCAAATGCTGGAGGGTTTCCATGAGCAGGGGACCTACTCTTTTTGTGGACAGCCAGCATCAAGGGCCTGTCGCTGGGGTGAAGCTGCAGGAGCACAGGGGTCTCAATCAGGTCCTGAGGTAGGTAGCCCAGCAGGGGGACTGCCCTGAAAGGCAAGCAGACACATGCTGGACACAGCTTCCAAACATCAAGCAAGTTACCTCTAAGAACTAACTTTTTTTTTTCCTTTCAGTTTTTGGCCAGGGCAGGGTTTGAACCCGCCACCTCTGGTATATGGGGCCAGCACCCTACCCTTTTGAGCCACCCAAAAGCCTTTCTTCTTCATCTTTTTTTGCAGTTTTTGGCTGGGGCTGGGGTTGAACCCGCCATCTCCGGTATGTGGGGCCAGCACCCTACTCCTTGAGCCACAGGCACCACCCAGAACATTCTTATTTATTAGAAAAAGGAGCCAGACCCCAAGTTCCCTAGACGTCAAAAATCTGGGAGTTGGGCTAACGGAGACCAGCTTATCTTTTAGTTTATTAGCAAATGCAGGTTCCAGTGAACTCATGCATCCAAGACACCCAGTGAAGCTCCACTTCTTAGGGCTGTAAGTGCTTTAGCTTTGTGCCTTCTCTCCTAAAAGAATAAAGGGCAACAATGCTTTTGTTTTTCTTCTCCTAAGATCTTCTTTTTTTGTCATTAATTCATTTGGCTACAGGTGGCCTGGTGTGGATTTCTGTTTAATAAGCTTTGCCTGGGCCCTTGAAAACCCTTCCCGGGAGCCTCTTTTCCAGCTGAGGTCATTTTCCTTCACTTATTTCTTTAGCCACTGTGCGGAGTCAGTTTACTATGGCTTCTCCAGGAGTCGTGGTGACTGGTGAGGCCTCTGCCCTCTGGCCCATGCCTGCTTCCCACTAGTGGTCTTGCTGGCTCCCTGCAGAGCCCACTCCTTGCCTTAGCTGAGGGCCTCCTCCTCCTCGCACCTACACAGAAGCTTTCTCAGGCTCTCCTGCTCCTGTGCTAGGACACTCCCTCTGGGTCTAGATCAACACGCCCCTGCTCCCTGTTGTCCGGATCCTTCTCACTGGCCTGGCCTCATTCTTTGATTTTCTCCTTGTCTGAGGCACTCTCTCTCCAGGCTCCATGCTTTCCTTTAGACAGAATGTACAGAATGTTCCTGGCACTCTCCCCATCAAGGCTCCCCTGGAGGAGAAGGAGGGGGAGGAGGGGGAGGAGGAGGAAGGGGAGGAGGAAGAGGAGCCCTGACCACACTGTGGCTATGAGCCCAGCTGTCTGCAGGTCTTTACTATGGAAAGCTCTGCAGACCGTCACCACCAGGGCCATGTGCACCTGCCCCCAACCTCCCTGTGCAGACTAAGCTGGACGCGCCAGGAGTTTGCAGACAGTTCTTAGACCTTTACAGATGCAACTCTCAGGCTCCACGCCACGGTCCTGAGCGGGCAAGGCTGGGTGAGGTGCAGGAACTTGCATCTGGAAACTGTCTCTCTGGTGGATTGTGTCACAAGTGTCTGGGGAACACACCTGAGCAACCTGGAGGTGAGGGATTCCCATCTATCTAGAGCAGAATTTCCCTATGAGGCTGCATGGCCTGACTCCAGGGGTGGGGACCTTGTGTCCCTGGACCAGGTGCAGACAGTGGGGAGGCAACCTGGTCCTTTTCAGGAAGCCCAGCATGCCTTCTCGCCCCCTCCTGACTGTCAGCGGCCCACAGCACTCCCCATGTCTTCATGCCTCCGTGCACAGACTGGGAGAAGGCATGTCAGTCAGGGCACCCTCAGGACCTGGTGCAGCTGAGTCTGGGTCATTCACAACTGCTACAACATTCAGGATGGGAGACTCAGGGAGAGGGACCTGAGTGGAGCTCTGAGCAGAGGTACAGACAGGCCCCTGTCCCCTGGAGTAGCCTCTGGCCCACAGACTGGAAGATGAGCTCTGCTGGCATCCTGCCCATGGCACCTGCAGCTTCAATCCTAACCTGGCCCCAGGCTCACTATCCCTGCCTGTACCATCATTTACTCAAAGCGAGTTAAACAGCTCAATCAGAACAATCACCACCTCTCCAAAAGGCCCCAATTACACTGTGGTCATGTCTTAGCAAGTTTTTAGCATAACTTCCCAATTATTTCATTGCCTATAAATAGTTAAACATTTTTGTCCATTATCATGTAATTATAAAACCAACATGAAGCCTTGACTTAAGCTAAATAGCTTTCATGTTAAAACATGCAAAGGGCTTGAGCTTTATTTAGTTATTATGAAGTAATTACCAAGATAATAAAACATTAAATATCTTGCAATGGAATCTGATGATAGGAAGAATGTAAAACTGATTCCAAGACAAGGGGCAGCAGAGAGGGAGTGTAGGCAGAGAGGACCGGCCAGCAGGCAGTGTAGGCAGAGGGGACTGGCCAGCAGCACCTACCTTTCATCTATGTCCTGGAACAAACAATTTGGTGTGTGGGTGGTTGTAAAAATTCTCTTTTCAGGAGGAATTCTAGGAGCTGAAAGAACAGAATATTGCACACATTTCTGATTCTAAGAAATACATATTTAGTGTCATTATATTAAAACTTCCAGAAAACACACCTAGATTCAGAGTAACAGGTAGCTGAAGAAAAATTTAAAAAATTAAAACACGGACTTTGAAGAACCCATAGACAGTAGGTGGCCCCTACATTGGTAACCCCCAGCTGGCCTTCCCTACTTCATGTGGACCCGTTTTAGTTTAGTAAATTGGGACTAGTAAACAGACTTCTCTTAGCAAAATCCTGCTGGAAGGCTATCTTCAGGATTTTTAAGATGAAACAAGAACAATTTGAACAAATTACTTTTAGAAAAATGAGTCACATACTCAAAATTCTCAGCAAATGTCACTGTGTGGAAGAACTTCACAGTTTTTAAGGTGGCAAAAGTAGTAATTTGCATAAAGGAAGTCACATGCCTCAAATTTTCCTCTATTCCCAAATTCATGGATAAAACATTCAAAATTCCAAAATTTTTCATGCTTGAAAGAGACTGATAATTTGGGGAATAACCTGTTGACCTTTTATAAATCTTTATTGGATACTGCAGATCCTCTGCATGTAGGGACACATCACACATCCTACAGGAAGTCATGTACTTAAAACATTTCACTTTTAATAAGTGTTTTTTTAAAAAGACGACATTAACAGCAGGGAGAGGAATGGAAGTCCACAGACTCAGCTGGCTTCCTGTGGTCACGCAGCTGCAACTGCACCTGCTTTTAGAGACTTCTGAAATCACGGGACATACTCAGTAGTGCCCACGATTCCTGGCCAGGGATTGTGGCTAGTACAAGGACCGAGGTGTCACAAAGCAGTCTCGGGGGATTACCAGAAGGACATGACCAAGGTGGCATAGCACCTGGGATCCTTTGGCTCTGAATTCTTTTTGGAGACTGGGAGGCTGCAGGGCTAGTGGGACCAGGAGAGTCACTGGTCAGGTGAGCTGCACGTGACTGGGTTTCTACAGGGGAGGTCGGTGGGAACAGAGCCAGGCAAAGGAGATAGTGGAGAGAAGACTGGGGGTGGAGAAGATGCTGGGTACACAGGGGCCAGGGCTCATCAGCTGACTCATCCAGGGAAGCCAGGGCACACGTGGAAGGCAGGCAACCTCAGGAAGAAGTTAGGATGGGCCAGGGAGGGAGGGAGGAGTGCCTGGCAGTTTATTTTTGGATGTGAGGGTCTGTTTGGGGTTCTGGAGCAGGCAGTGATATTACTGCCCTTCACCCTTTGGAGGGGCGCAAGTGGCTGAGGCATTTGTGGGGGAGGGGACGAGGATGGGCGGGACTGGGGCCCTAGGCCTGTCAGGGCTGTTCTCAATTGCCAGTGAAAGGCAAGAGAGAGAAGGGATTGAAGCAATGGTCTGGAACCCTGAACTTCCACTGGGAGGGCCAGATGACAGCAGGGGTGTGCTGAGTCCCAAGAAAGATGGAGACTGTGCCCAGGGACGGGGCAGAGGCCAAGGCTGGAGAACTGGTGCCAGCCAGTCTCACAGGCATTATGCTGGCACTGTGGGAGTTACCCCTCCCTGTCTGAGGCTGAGCTGTTACCTTCATAGCCTGAGTGCACGCGCTCTGCCAGCAGGAGGCAGCAGAACTGTCTCTCCCCACCCTGCTGGTCCCACACCTTAGCCAGGTAGGGCGTCATGCGGAACGGGTGGTAGCGAATCTCGTTCTCGTGGTTCTTCCCGACACTGCAGAGAAGAAGAGCAGCACCAAAGGTGTGGGATTATGCCCCAGGAACCATATCTCATTTGCTAGTTCTGTCCTCCTGCGACCCACTGGAGGGAACGGGGTACCTGCTGGAGGAGCTGGGCTTGCCACCTGCTCTCTTCAGCCCTTTCCCTCAGTCTTGTCACAGTGAAGGCCAAATCCAAAAGCGGACACCCTGACTGGAGGACGGGGGCCTTTCCAGCCCTTCTCTAGGGCACTTTGCATTCCAAGCAGGGCAAAGTAGAAGGAAAGGGATACTTCCCCCACCGTGGGGTCCTAGGCCCTGGGACTGACACCCAGCTGGATACTCAATAATAGTCACTCTCTTTCGGGCCAAGGGCCTGTTGGGGAAACTCCCCAGACCACGCATACACAAAGTGAAGGGTGCATGTGCTTTCCAGGGTCTTAAGGACCTTGGGGAGTGGGGGGTGTGCCTTCTGGAGCGACAGACAGCAAGTACAGGGTCCTCTGGTCAACATTTTCCATGAGCAGGCTAATGCACCCCACTGCGGTCCTATTGCCTGACACAAGGAGGCTAAAGTACCCCACTGCGGTCCTACTGTCTGACACGAGGAGGCTAATGCACCCCACTGCGGTCCTACTGCCTGACACGAGCAGGCCAATGCACCCCACTGCGGTCCTACTGTCTGACACGAGGAGGCTAAAGCACCCCACTGCGGTCCTACTGCCTGACACGAGGAGGCCAATGCACCCCACTGCGGTCCTACCGCCTGACACGAGGAGGCTAAAGTACCCCACTGCGGTCCTACCGTCTGACACGAGCAGGCTAATGCACCCCACTGCGGTCCTACTGTCTGACACGAGG